ACAAACCCTTACATAAATGATATGAAAAATTATACTGTCAAAAAAGATGATATGGACAAACTTTTAAGTCTGTGTAATATTTCATCTAAACTTTTATAGTTTAATACAATTTAAATTATAAAATAGGATACTCGTTTAATTTTTTATACTATTTTTTAAGTTAAACTCCATTTTAGTGCTTCAACTTTTGTCCCTCCTTTTTTGTCACTAAACTCAAAAGAATCCATTTTTAAGTCCCTACATTTTATTTTTCCAACCCCATTGAGTCCCACGATTAAGTTTTTGTTGGCTTGACTCGTACTTAATGGAACCACCAAATTTCTTCTTTATATAAACAGCTTATTTATACTGCACCCTTATGGAACCACCAAATTGTTACTTAATTTTTGTCGTATAAAATGATAGAGTTAATTTTTATTTTAATTCTAAGTATTACGCAATAGATTTTAATTAGTCAATTTTAAATTAAATATCATGACTTATTTTTTTAGTGTAAAATTTTATTTTAAAAAAATTACAATTACTACATAATAATAATTTTGTATCCTCTGCCCTTGTAAGATAGTATAGACTGACACTTATATAATGATGTGGAAAATTATGCCGTCAAAAAAGATGATGTAGACCTGACCCTTTGGGTCAACTGGCACACAGTCAGCTTAAGGTGTATTCCCCTCTCTTCCATAGGCGGGCTTCGAATCCGCCCCTTGACAACTATGTTAAAAAAAAAAAAAAAAGAAAAAAGATGATGTAGACCAACTTTTAAGTCTACGTAACATTTCATCTAAACATATTGGACCCACTTGCAAAAATTCGAAATTTTTGTGGCTTAGTTCAAGAATTAATAAATGAATTTAAACATGATTTTTTTTATAAAAACCTGATTAATTTTAATTACTCATTACTTAACTTAATTTAATGAATTATTTAATTATCATCCATCATGTAATTTAATAGTAAAATTATTTATAATCTCAACCATAAATTTAAAATTTAATTTTTAGTCTTTAGGATAAAATAAAATCATTTAACTTTAGTCAAATCCATATTTGGTCTCTGGTTCCTTATTTGGTCTTCGTCAAATCCATCTGTATCCTGGTCATTCGTGGCCTCATCTTCACCGTCTTCGGTCTCTGGTTCCTTATTTGGTCTTCGTCAAATCCATCTGTATCCTGGTCATTCGTGGCCTCATCTTCACCGTCTTCGTCATATCCATCTCTATCTTGTTCGTTGTTAAAATATATATATATATATTATGTAAATTAAATTATACTAAATTATACAATTTAGGTTATAATTATAACAAATTTACCATATAATTTGTTCGCAGCTGTACGCCAAATTTACTATAGTGTATTAAATAACTAGCGAGCACTTTGGCATCGGCACCATCCTATTTAATAGTCTTTTTTTATAATTTAAAACAATAACTGTAAAATATGAGATTCATTTATTTTTTACACTATTTTGTTTTTTTTAGAAAGTATGAAAAACGAGAGTAGTATTTTAGAGGACACTCGCGAATTGACACGTTACTCAACGGAACCACCAAATTTCTTC